CCCTGAATTATTTGATAATTTAGGTATTGCACAACCTAAAGGAGTGTTGCTTTATGGTCCTCCTGGTACAGGAAAGACTTTATTAGCTAGAGCTGTTGCACACCACACAAACTGTAAGTTTATTAGAGTTTCTGGTAGTGAATTAGTTCAAAAGTATATTGGTGAGGGTTCAAGACTTGTTAGAGAGTTGTTTATTATGGCTAGAGAACAAGCTCCTTCTATTATTTTTATTGATGAAATAGATTCTATTGGATCTTCAAGACTTGATGGTGGTGCTAATTCTGATTCAGAAGTACAGAGGACTATGTTAGAGTTGCTTAACCAATTAGACGGGTTCGAATCCACTAATGGTATTAAAGTGATTATGGCTACAAATAGAATTGATATTTTAGATCCTGCTCTTTTAAGAACTGGTAGAATTGACAGGAAAATAGAATTTCCTAATCCTAAGTCAGTTGCTAGAGTTGAAATTCTCAAAATTCACTCTCGTAAGATGAACTTAACTAAGGGGATTAATTTATCTAAAATTGGTGAAAGTTTAGTTAATTGTTCCGGTGCTGAGGTTAAAGCTGTTTGTACTGAAGCTGGTATGTTTGCTCTTAGAGAAAATAGAATTCATGTAACACAAGAAGACTTTGAAATGGCTGTTTCTAAAATCATGAAGAAAAGTTCTGAATCTGATGAAAGTATGAGAAGATTATTAAAATAAAAAATTTCTTGATTATTTTTGAATGGATTTTAATTACAAAATAAAGATAAATGAAATTATTAAAAATATCTTTAATAAACAGATAAAGACAGATAGATTGGTTTTAGAGGGTTTAAATAAAGAAACTATTAAAGATGTCTACTATCAAATTTTATATAAATATTTAGTTTTTTATTTTGCTACTGATGATGATTCGTTTGAAGATTTTTATAAAGATTTTATAAAAAGTGTTATTGAATTTAGTAAGACATCTAGTAGATTTGATGATAAGTTGTTAATGATTAATATAAATGATAGAAAAAGTCTGGGTTTAATTAAAAAGTATGTTCAGGGTTATAAAATTGGTAAACTTGATTTTGAAGACAGAGAAGATTTAGTTTCTTTAATAGAATATTTTTATTTAGTTTCTTT